ATGGCGGCGACGACGGTGTTGATGGCGGCGACGACGGTGTTGATGGCGGCGACGACGGTGTTGATGGCGGCGACGACGGTGACGATGAGACAATAAATTACACCAAAGCCAATAAGTGTTATCAATTATGATAATTATATCAATAATAATGATAATAATACATTGGCCGATCAGATGGCCAAGTTCGTTAAGGCAGTCCCATAGCGGTCTTGGACCAGAAGGTCTCGGAGAGCCTTAAGGGTGTTTTATGTAATTGTTTAGGCCAAAGATCGGAGCCTTGTTATGAACTTTGTCACCCGCAGGAAAGCAGCGTCGGGGATGACTTAGTAGGGTTGGCAGAAAATGTACTTGCGAATAATCTGGGTTGGAAATTGCGCGTTGGACAGACTCAACGATGTATGTTAATCGCGAACGCTAGAGCCGCGTCGTGAAAGTGGACACTCGTGGCCGAAACGCTTAAAATTCCTTACAAGTTCTTAGAAGTTTGAGATTATAAATACGACGCCATTGCGCTTGGGTATTCCTTGAACGTGCTTTAAAAAACACTTAAATCTATTATGTTGGCAAAGTGAATTCACATTTTACTTTTTCAATCCGTGAGTTTGGTATTGGCAGAGGACGCTCAGTAATGGCGGTGGGTCCCCGTAAGTGTATAATAACCAAAAACTCGAATTAAAGTATAATGAAACTTCTACGAAAAAGTCTTGGCTTTAAGTAGTAGATTTCGCAGACAGCTTCAATCAGCTGAGCATGGTGGTAAACTGTGTTACCGTGTCGGATGCTAAAATTCACATGGCTTCCCGGCGGTGGTGAGAACCAAATGAACAGAACCAGAATAGAAGTAAACAGATTAATGGGTCATGTGAATGAGAGTAAGTAAATGCTTGTACTATTAAGCTTTTGAAGTGAATACTTATGTTTCGGTGACTGAAACTTAAGTACTAGCTTTTACTTGCTTGTAAATGTCACTTATAGTCAATAGGGTCTACTTAATCTCTTAGTAAGAACCTATTTGTTCCAGCATTTACTTAAAAAAATACTTAAAATTGAGCTTTTACTTTCCTACTTATCTGTAACAAATGTAGTACAATGACGGATGATTTCTAAACTGTAAGCCCGCTTTCGTGAATTTCATTCTTATGTTAAATACGATTTTTTTTGCTGTCAATGAAAATTACAAATCTATTTTAATCATTTATATACAATATTCGCAAATCATAATTAGTATCATAATTAGTAATACCTACTTTCTATGCAAATCCATTCTTGAAATTAAGATATTTATTTTCAAACATTTTATCACGTGTTGTTGCTAACATGTGAAAAAAAGTAATGTTTTTGAGTATTTCTAGAGTAATGGTCTAGAAGATTCACTGCTTGATAATGCAGTTGAGAATTCTCTAGTACCAAATGTAAATTGTCTCCTCACTCATTCTCCGGACCCACAACTGATGAATCTGCCAACTGCAGCATCCTCCTCTTTACCACCATTAGCACTGAAGCAATAACCAATACACGGTCTAGATTTTATTTCAGGTGCTGTACATTCATGTTAGTAGTGAAATTTAGGGTGGTGGACAATTTTTATTATGTCCTCTGGTATGCCTAATTGATCCTGAATAAATTACACATGTTCTAAAAGACGTATATAAAGATTCTTCAGCTTTGTGCTTAGGGCAAATGCTTCACTCAGTTCAAATGAAAATCCTATTTTCATTCATGATTTGTTTGATTCTATTAAACTATGTCTTTATTAAACTAACCAACAATACATTAATCATAGTAATTCATAAAGCTGGTATGATTTAAATCAAATGATTTTTTTCATTTGTTTATTTCAAAATATATTTGTAATTAAAATATTTTGAAAATAAAAATTACTTGGACAAAAATACATAAATCAATTACAAAGTTCTTTAGTATATATTATATTTCTTATAAACATTCTCACAAAATTGAACTATTTTGAGAAAATAAAATACAATATATATAACAAAAAGAACAAACTTATGGAATGAAAAACAATTTGTACTAGTTATATAGTAATAGACTTAGATGATCGATTAGTTTTTATCCAGCACTTCATTGTCTGATAATAAAAACTTAGGAACGATACCGCCCTAACACTTATCGTGCTAGTTTCGAGAAAAACATGTTTAAAGCTTGAAAGGTGTCCACAATTCTTGATTTCTATTAAAATATTTGTTAAAGGCACTTAAAAGTACATCTTTAAGGTGGTTAGTATTAATAAAAATGAAATGTTATTAATACTCATTTGAAGAAAAAAATTGTTAAAATAATGAAAACTGTAGTTAATCTTGCTCGTTTTATTTATATTAACCTTTTTCTTTATGTGTATGTTGATAAAATTCCATTTTAAGTGAGAAGCAAACTTCCCACTGACTGTTAAAGGGTTCATGGGAAAGTGCCCAAGTAACAACCATTATACCCCATATGTTTTTACAACAGGACAACTATTAAGTAGAATTTAATATTTCAAAAACTGTCTAACATTGTTGTAAGTTTTTCATGAATACATTTGTTTTCAACAATAAGTGCTTTTTGGTTAGGGCGGTATTGCACAAAAAAGGGACAATTTCTTTGGACGAAGAATGCCTTTTTTTTCTAAATCATGCTAGCAGATGGCGCTACAAACGTATTCAGTAATGTGGACCCAAGAGAAAGGTTTCATTACCATGAAACTAAAAGTAAATCAAATCGAAAGATTTTGGGAGTTAGGGCGGTATTGCATTCGACCCCTCAAATATATAGTATCTTTTTTTTTTTTTTTCAAATAAAATTACAACATTTCAATGATAAATTTAAAAACTGATGTTATAATGACCTTTTTTTGCTTTTAGAGTAATTAAGGGAAAATAAATCACTTCAAAATTTTGGTTTAAAGTATGAAGTATCTAATACATTTTTATAAAATTTTATTTAAATCAAATATGGGTTAGATAAGTAGAAAATGGGTGTGCATGCATTTGCATTGTGAGTTTTCTTGGGTGTATAATTTAATTACTTATTAATTTTTTAGTTGTTCTTTGAGGTGACTGTACTAAGCTACCATTATATCTTTGACCAGGTGAATTTGCGAACTGGGAAAGATTATGAAGTTGCCCTACTATAAAAACTGTGAAGCAAAAGAATGATTGTCTGTATGTCTAAATACATGCCATTGATTCTTTTATTATGTTTGGTTGGGAGGTTTCATTCTGCTTTTGTGAAGTGGTAGAAATAGTATTGTGTTTGAGAAACAGAAAATATGTTGATACTGAATTTCTTCATTTGTAAATCAATGTTTTTGGTGTTAGATTATGGATACTTGGTCCCAGAAGACTCCAGGATATCCAAATTACTGCGTCGTCTTTCAAGAGAAGATGACCCAGATAAGTTTTGTTCCCTGGCAAAACAACTGCAGGTAACACACAATTAATATTTTCTTTGTTATTTCCATTCAACGTGACTAGCCTTGACTTTGGAATAACTGCATTAAAAAAATTCATTCATACTTATTTATTTTGTAACAAAGGCTGTAGATAAGAGGATAAATATTACGCTAAAGGTTATTTTATTATCTAGAAATTAATTTTAGGAAAATAGTGTTTGAAATTATTGTTCATGTCTCAAATAACTTTTAATAATTTTCCTACATATTTGAACAAAATATTATTCTCCAAGTAACAAAATGTAAGAGATTAAAGTTAATTGATTTGTATCCAGTTGCATTCAGCAAAACGTGGAAGAGTTTTCATGAATTAATTTTGCTATGTCTTCCGTCCTCCATTGAGAATAAAGAGACTGACTTAAGAAGGATGTAGGGACATAAGTTCAAAATGTTTAAATCTTTTAAATGATTGACAGTGATTTACATGAAAGCCAAACTAGAATTGCTGTGCCATATCATGTTTTTATCGTAACCTTTTTTACCATGAATAAATAACAGAAAATGTTTTTCAGAATGTAAATGTATCTAGTGTTTTTTGAAATTAGAAAACTGCATTGTTCGTTGAAATTCAGAACTCTTACAGTAATACTTTGTTATGAATATTAGAGAATGACCACCTTAAAGTAAGTTTTAAACTTTTTATTCTGAAAGACCAACCATAGCTGTATCAAAATCATTTTATATTTGTGCATTTTATTATAACATGAATTATGTACATTGTATTGAAATCATATATATATACATAAAAGCATTGCTTTTAATGTTGTTGAATATAAGAGCAAAATTATTATTATTTGGATAATTGTTTATTCTGGTTTTTGAATTATTCAAGATATGAGGATAAATATTTTCCTCTGACATTTGCTTTTTGTCCAGTTGACACGGTTGAAATTTTAAATAAAAAAATAAAAAATATTAATGTAAATAAAAATTGTAATGGATTTGAGGAGAATTGAATAATTGTAGCAGGTATGAATAAAGACATTTCTACATAAAAAAATTAGATAAAGAACTGCCAGGAAGGATTGTAAAGAGAATGGTAAGCATGCAGATCTTTTTGGGTAGGTTTCTTTTTAATAAACAAGTTCAGTTGATTACTCCACTAATATGACTAATAGTACAAGAACTTTAACATCCTTGCTTATTCTCAATGATGTGACAGTACATTTAATGTTGGTATGATATGGAAATTATGTTCAAAATAATATTGCGTACTAGTATCAAGCAGTAGGCTTGAAGTTATTGCATTTCTTAGTTTCTTGAAGCAACTTGACATATTTTCTGCTTGTGCATTTATCTGATACTAATCTACAGATCTGTTGTGAAAATATTTGACTTTTCATTTATTCCGATTCAATAAGTGTCAGACTTGGGGAAAGATGTATTTGTTTTAAAAGTGATGTAATGTGGTTGGTGCTTTAATCAGTCATTGCAAAGCAGCCATATAGTTTTCAAGTCATATTTTAATTTTCTTCTTAAGCCACATCCAAGAACGGATGTGAACACTCAATAAATTAACATAGAAATGCAAATTCTTCTCTTGGGTATTAGACAACATTGAGTACCATGATGCCAGCGTACATCACAACTTGTTTTAAATTTAATATAGCTAGAAAAAACTAAATGAAGTTTCTGGAAACTTGCTTTGGTAAATTAATAAAACAATATTGTCCATTAAATAATAAATGCATTGACTAAAAAAATGAACATTAAAATATGACCTAAGAATGGCAAAATGTATCATATCCAAAACTATAGTTTTTATAGTATACCCATCTCTTGCTTGCAAAGTCACGAACTGCTCCTTTACAAACTAATCATAACTAAACATATCATCATTTGATAAATCTGAAATTGATCACCAAAGTAAAAGACATTACCTTTTATAGATTTTTTGGGGGGGACAGTCTTGTAAACCAGCAAATTGGGTATTTCAAAGCATGTGAAATTTTCCTTAGTAAATGGTGGGTTCTATTTTTTCGCTGTATTGGATTCAGCTATTCAGTAATGCTTCAATTTGAGTTGAGTTGTTTGATATTGTGATTTTTGTGTTTTCCCTTGTCATTGTCAATATATTAGTATAATGAATAGGAATTATAAAGATTTATAATTAGCAAAATTGGAAAATTGTACATAATTTGCCCTATTGATAATGGGCTGTTATGTCAGTGGAGAATCACCACCCAATGACAGGGAAGTTGCTCATCATTTCTGAAATGTATTTGCTTTGCTCAGTTACGCCTTTTGATTCCAGGAGTCGCTTATGGTGCCAGAGAATGGAAGGTACATAAAAAGAGCTTTTGATCTTATCACTGAATCACTGCTAGATTTGCTACACACTGGTCCAGGATCAGAACCAAAACTTCAGGCTGCAAAATGCCTTGGGAGATTTGGATATGTTTTGGATCAAGATTTCAAGAGGTATGCATCTTCTAGATAAATAAAATTGTAGCGCATATGTAGTTTTTATAAACTTACATACTGATACACGATATAAAAACAATTTCAATTAATTTTGTGATTTTTGTCTGTAAGTAAATAAGCTAGCCAGCCCAAAGGTAAGACACTAGTCACTATCCATATGCATATCCACACATATCCATTACATATGCACACTAGGTGATTCGAGAAATTAAACTTACACAAAAAAAAAAATTTAACCTGAATCGTGCATTCCAAAACCTAAATGTTTGCAAGTGAGGATATCGAGAGATACTTTTGTCGTATTTATGGCAATTGAAAGGGATAGAGGAATGTACCACAGAAAAAAATTGTTTTAGTACTTATATAAAATTAAATTTACCGGAAGATTTGTGAGAGTCTTCTATAACAGAAGGAAGTTTATGTGTTTAGAAAGAGGTTACTAATGAAATTTAAGAAGGCTGTCTGTCTGTCCTGTCTCTCTGTCTGTCCTGTCTCTCTGTCTGTCCTGTCTCTCTGTCTGTCCTGTCTCTCTGTCTGTCATGTCTCTCTGTCTGTCATGTCTGTCTGTCTGTCATGTCTGTCTGTCTGTCATGTCTGTCTGCCTGTCATGTCTGTCCTGTCTCTCTCTGCCTGTCTGTCCTGTCTCTCTCTGCCTGTCTGTCTGTCTCTCTCTCTGTCTCTCTCTCTGTCTCTCTCTCTGTCTCTGTCTCTGTCTCTGTCTCTCTCTGTCTCTGTCTCTCTCTCTGTATCTCTTTGTTAAATCTTTTATGTTACTTTGAATTGTGAACAATTTTTTATATAATAGGTATTAATTGTGAAATTTCAGCCTCTCAAATAAATAGATAGATAAATATTTAGACAAGTAATTATGTAGATAGAGAGATACACTGACAGGTTGAAAAGTAGGTAGATAAATAAAATAGATTGATCAAGTTTTATAGTATAATTTCCTGTTTGATTATAAATTTTACTTCTTTTAATTTCAGGTACATCGATTGGGTATTTTCAACCTACAGTGTTGAAAGAAATGAGGAAGTTCGTTTACTACTGATGAAAGCAATATATGAAACATTGCATTTGGATAAAGAAACTCTCAAAACAAAAGAATATGCTAGTGTAAGTGATATTGCTTTCTTGAATTAGTGTTGGGGATTACTGGGGAAAAGTGACTGAAAATTGTCTGTGTGGTTGAGCAGTCACACATGCTTATTTCCAGAATTATCTCAAATTCTCAACTTGATTCTCAACAAATAGAAACAAACTGATTTTTCATATATTGCATATAAATAATAACACGTATTTACGTAACATTGTATACCTAATGTTGGTTTGATACAACTTATTTTATGAAAATTGATTTGCTTCTCGAAAAACCTGTTGACAGACCATGTCTCCCTCTATATTATAGTGTCATTTAATTATACATTATTGATTAATATTATTTTTAGGACATTATTATGTCACTATATATGACTTTTTTGGGTCTTGTCGAGTGTAATTTGGTGCTGTGATAGAACTCTGTTGATAGAATTAATTGCACAAATGCCAAAACTCGTTTATGAATAATTTTAATGCAATAAAGCATATTAATAAAACTTTTTACTCCTTTCCAGACTTTAATGTCGAGCCTACAAAATGCTTTGGAATTCACAGATTCTGCAGACTTCTTGATTGGTACTGTCGATGTTATTTTGCTTCTGACTGAAATGTATCCTACATCTTTCTCAAAACATTTTCGAGTAAGTAATTTTCCTTATGTTATGTGGTGTATTGTGATGTTGGATTTTATAATCTTTAATTGTGTTTGTAGGATACAGTTGACATTCTTGTTGGCTGGCATATTGATAGTAGTCTGAAAAGTCAGATCACTGAGTATGCATCACGTAGTCTTCAAAAATTGAATCGCTTCTGGATTGTTGATCTGCAGTTTTCTGTAACATTAATAAGTCAGTTTCTTGAAGATATGGAAGCATACGGAGATGATATACATGTGTCAAATGATCAATCAGGAAGATCGACTCCTGATGAAGAACCTATTCTTTCCCCAGAGCAATGTATAATAAAAATTACATCACTGATCAAGTAAGTTGAAGTTTATTTGTGATATCCTTGATTGTTCTGTGTTTGCACTTTATTTTTATTTGCAGAGTTTTCAACACAGTTCTGAAGTGTTTGGGCCAACATTTAAATCCTATATTATCACCGACAATATCATGGAGCTTTCTCATCAATTGCTTTACAAAAATGCTTCAGACTGTTCTCAGAGCTTTGGAATTTCTAGTTCGGGAAGAACTGATTATTGCTGGTAGGTCTTCACTGATGACCTGTTTGTATTTTAATTTGCAAAAACATTACATACAAAAATACACCCAAGATGTGGTTTACTAAAATGTACATTTGTTGTTTTATCTGTTTAGCAAATGAGTGTGCAAGTTTGTTGTTGACTTTCTTACAAACAAAGATTTCATCAACAAATGGAAAACTGTATTCATTAATTAACATGGAACTGAGATTTGCAGGCCAGCTGGGTGAAGAAGCAATAATATCTATGCTCACGTTTATTGCTAAGGTAAAAGATTATTAATGTGTGGGTTTGAATATTTGTACATTCTAGTTTTAATAAAACAACATTTACAGGTTGTACGAGATGTTAGTGCTAATCTTCCTGTAGAACTTGTGCAAGATATTTTGGGCCCAGAATCACCTATCCTTAAATTAAGATTTTCACCTTCGAAGAAAATACAAAATGAAGTGCTAGGTGTTTACCACAGCCTTCTCAACCTGAAAAACATCCCTCCTCTTCAGGAAGCTTACAGGTATTTCCAAAAAATAATGTACATTTTATAACGGCTGTGAAGTACACTGTGACTCCTTTACAATAATATATTAAGTGAAATTCACTCTGTAGAAAATATATATCTCCTAGGAACATTATGTTGAGTTTACCCAGTGCAGAAAATGTTGTAATGCATTTTTCTCTTACCTTGCATTTGTTAAGTTTGCCCTTGCTACCCTGAATGTTTGCATATTCACAAGTAATTTTATTAGTTTTCTGGACTCCTGCTTTCGTGTTTACATTTCAGTTGTACACTGTAATATGTGCTATATTAACTTAATTTAGTTTCTATGTGCTAATTATGTCGGAACAATTTACCATGTTCGATGATAATTGAGGTTTTCTTATAGTCGTGCTTCATTTTTGTTTTTTTAAAGATAATTTTTCAAGGATCTTGACTAAAGTAGCAAACCTTATTTTGCAGGTATGTTTTGGGAGACTTGGAGATGGCATATAAACAAGTAGTGCCATCAATTTCAGAGCTTTGCCAGTCAAATCCCCTTGCAAATGTAAAGTACAATGATGAGGATGTTGAAATGGTGATAATGTTTCATATGAAAGCTTTAGCAGACCTTGGTAAGTAAAAACTTATTTCTTCGTCATAAGACAATGAAATTATTGACTTAATTATGTGTAATATTTCTCTTCTGCTTGCAGCAAATGCTAGTAGCTCCATCATTGGTATGTGGGCCTTACAGCCTAGCATTCTAGAACTCTTAGCTGTGAAACTCCAACCATATCATAAGAATCTGGTCAATTATAGTCCTATGTTACAATATTGTATAATATATCTTCTGTACAGTCATTGTGCTCGGTAAATGTCTATTTATATTTATTAACAAAAGAATCATGAAATGTCAGGTTTATTGAACTGATTTTTTACAAATGTTTTCTTTGTTTAGGTACAATAATTTTGTTTCTAGTAGTGGATTAGTGAGTGCAGCTCATGGAGTTTCGAATGTCTGTGATATTTTGGGTCTTCCTATAAATTTGGGTACTGATGTACCTACGTCATCACCAACAAGTGGCCATTTGTCTGTTATACTTACAGTTCTGACACAAGTTTTATCTGAGGTACATAATTTACAAAATGACAAGATTTGTATTTTCCAATGTAATATTCAGGAAAAAAATTAATTGTGTGAAATATTAATTTTTTTATTCCTTTAGAAAGCAGTTATTTCTTATTTATAAATTCCCAAAAATTGAATGCCCGGAATCTGGGAGGTTGTGGTGATATTCAATATTTTTTAAGGTTCATTTTCACAAGTCTTTGTTGCCTCCAGACTTGTTCTTTTTAATTTTTGTATTAAGTGTCTGATTGTAACTTAGATTTTGACATGGCATTTTGAGAACATCTGAAGAATTGGAATTTGAATGTATCTCTTGTGGCAAGCCCTTCGACAATGTCTATGGGCTTTAAAAATCATTGGAGGCAACAATTGTAATGAGGCAAAGGGTATTTGTTAAGTAAATTTGAAGTCAATATTAATTCTTTTATATCATTGGAAACATCAAAATTGTAGTTGTGAATAAATTTCATTTTGGTGTCAAACCTTTGCAGAATTAATATACATTTTCTTGATATTTTTTAAGCTTAATAACGTATTGTCATTTTAATTTGCAAACCTTGTACCTCCAAAATACAAAACCCTACTGAAGAAAGAAAGTACATTTTTAAAGCCCAAATATTAGTTAAAAACACAACATGTTTTAAAATAATTAGGAAATAGATTATTTTTCAATACTGACTATGTAATTAATAAAAACAACTATTTTTTGTGGAAATTATAATGGAGTTTGAGTTTTGTTACAATACAGATTGATAATCATATTCAATTTTAAGAGAATACTTCTTAGATTGTTCTGTTATTTATTGGATTCAAAGCCATTTGTAAAAATAAATTAAATTGTATTAGCGCTCTTATCTTTTCATGGACAAGTTTACTGAAATTGAACTAAAACTATATAGTTGTATTGCTTCATAGTACAGACTTTCTCATAGTATTTGTAATGGTTACGTAAGATTATAATTATTTGCTCTGTATATGTACAATCAGTTTTCGTCAATCTGCACGTGAGAATAACATAACTCAGAATTTGTTGCTGTGGTAACAATACAACAGAACTTGTTGAGCTACCCACCTTGATTAAGTGGTCACCTCCATTAATTATAATTTTTACATGGAGCAGATTGATTTTTCCCGTAGATATATGTAAATTCGCGGTCTTCTTTTTTTAAGCGATCACTTGGCCCAAGATGTCATCATGTCAGCATGTTTCCTGGATTAATTTGTATTAAACTCCCATCATTTTGTAATTTTGTGCCAGGACACTACAAGAAGCAAAAGAGCACATTTTAAGATAAGTTATTTTGCAGGGGATTCAAATGTATTTCAAATTACAGATTATTTTCATGTATATTCTGAAGTTTTCTTGAGTGTGAATTGCATAATCAAGTTTAGTTGGGAATTGAATCTATGATTGGGAAGAATCATGCAAAAAATGGAGAATTGATTGATTTTTGTATAAGAGTAGTTTGTATGTACATGTGCAAAAACACTTCTGATATTTTGTTGCTGAAGTTTAAATAAAAAGGAGTTAATAAAATCAATTTCAATTCCAAATAACAAAATTAGATTGGATGTCCGATTTTTGTATTACCATAATCTCTAATAAGCAGCCACCTGTACTAATGGCAGTTTTTATCCAAAACCAGTGGTGCCTGCTAAAGACAGATTTCTCTGTACTGTAAAGTCTTATCAACTTTCAACACTTTGGTTCCCGCTCCAAAAAAATTAACTTTTTTTTGTGAAATAAACAGTCCATACACAAAATTAAGAGAACCTTTCAGTTAACAGGGTGGTTTACTTTTCATCACTGTTAAATTGATACTTTATATTTTCTGTTTGATTAAAAGAACATGTTCTTCATATTTATTTAATATCTGCAATACTTTAATTGAAATGCACCTGTCAGAGTATTATAGGGGAGAGAAATCTCTCTTTATAAGAACATTTTTGGAATACATTTTCAAGAAAATTGTGTTTGAACTTAGGGAAATAATATTAATTGTTTCTAATAACAGTAGAAGCTGTTCATAGAGTTAAAATTGTGAATGGAAATATTGAAATTTTAAACAAAAAAATCTCCAAAATGCTATTAAGTCTGTGTGGTTTCTTGTAACTGAAATAAAAGGGCCATGGTATCATAGAAAGTATGATAACATACAATCTGTATACAAAAGCTGAGAAGTTACAAAATCTGCCAACATAGAAAAGTAACATAGTTAAAGGTCAATGGTGTCGGACTACTGCTATAAGGAATTTCTTTGGAGATTTGAGTTATTCATATTGTATTAGAAATTTTCATTGCCACCGATGGTAATATCGACAAATTGACCAAAATTATAGTTAAAAGGTTTGCAAATGAAAGTGATTATCAATGTTGAACTTGTATACTTTAAGAGAATGTTCGAGAACTTTTTTCATAAATAATCCTCATTGTTCTCCCATTCTAAAATGGCAGTGTTAGCTTGTCCAAGCTTCTTCATTTTTCAACAGGTCAAAATTACTTTCTTTTAATAACCACTTTTAGTAAATGAAAGGTATTAAACTCTCCCTGTCCAATAAAAAAGTATTCTTTTTTATCATTGTTTTGTGTTTTTGTTTATATCCTACAGGTGTCATCAAAACAAACCATGTGTCTTATATTGGGATGGACGGGAGAAGTTATCTGTCAGGCACAGTCCTATCTGAATGCATTGCAAGATTCACGAGAGTTCTGTGATCTTCTCCAAGCTTTGGTTAAAGCTGGTCACACACAAGATGTGTATGTAGCTTCGTTAGTGTTGAAAAATTTGGAAGATTTGTTGAGCTCCAGTAATATCTTGTGGAAGGTAATTTTTTAGCATTTCTTAATTATGTCCTTTCTTCTTTTGTACTCTAACATGCATCACTTTGAAGTATTTTTTACTAATTTTGCTGCTACAAGGATCTCAAATGAGCATAATTGTTATTTGAAGGATAGTGGGGGATTTTGTGAGAAGAAAAATGATAAAATTCTTTGTAACTTAGAATTCTTATACAGATAGGTTATATTTCAGTGTAATGTTAGGAATGTTTCAGTTTGAACATTACTTAAAATGGTATGAAAACTTATCACTGATACACTGAATTAAATTTAACTAATCAGTGCTTATTCGAGGCGCCATTTGAGTCATTACTAACTTGTCTGGTCCCCAATCGTTCTAGCTGATGTCGCGCAGCCTTTGGATTTTGAAACTGATATTTTAATTTGGGGCCCTCGGACATTTTTGAAATTTTCTAAAAAAATTACAAATTTTTTGATTAAATTTTGTTGCTAAATAGTACGAAGGATGTTTAAGAGAGTGGTGCAGATCTCATTTTCATTGATATCCCAGACTACAAAATTGAAGATAGAAACTTTGCCTCCGACAAAGTCTATTGTACTAAATTAGCTCTTTAAAAAATGTTATGTACAATTTTTTGAAAACTAGTAATTTTTACGTAATATGTGCTGAGAAATTAACAATTTGTTTTTCTCAAAATCTGCTCCAATTTTTTTCTCTAAATTTTCTCCACGTATGTATTAAGAGACAGTAAAAAATATTACGCTTATCTCATTTTTGGGTATTGTTAGTTTTTTTTTAAAATTGCAACAAAAAAATTCAAAAGTACCAAATTAAAGGTAAAGATTTTTGCCTCATTCTGTTGTTCAAAATTAGCTTTTAAAAAAGTGTCAAGTAAAATGTTTGGTAAAAGTCAGTAGTTTTTGCATAATTTCTGTTTGAAATATTTGAAGCATTATTGGCATACCGTCAGATATAACAATAACATTGTAATTTTGGTAGAAGGTATGTACTATTGTAGTACTAGTTAGTTGTATGTTACATGAAGCTGTTGTAACTTTATGGATTTATGAGAATATTATGGGTTTTGCCGTACTAGTGATACACTGGAGCGGGTGTGAGTAGGGACTGGATTTCAATGCAAATGCAAATTTTCTTTGGGTAGTCAGTAAGTATTCTCACTTGGTATGTGCATAAAATGCCCCATTTCTAATTATTTAAACATGATTTTATAGTGCATTTGTTTCATGTTGTGCCAGTTTTCTTAAGTATAATGTTTCAGCAAGTTGCTAATTAGTCTGCTTGAAAACATTACCTTTTCTCAGAATTTTCAATGTATTGGGTTTCTATGCACGTGGTTCATTGTAATTAATATCAGTTTCCTGTATCCTAATTATGCATAACATTTAAAAGGAGAATCGCGATCTTTTCAAGCATTACGTACGGTCCGCTTGAATGTAGTGCCGATGAACTTTCACACGCGACTTCAACCGTCACAAGTTTCAGACGAAACGTCCCCTACAAATGTGAGCGAAACATGTCACGAAATTAGAGAAATGTTACTTTTCATGGTATGTTGGCTGCTACAAGTTCTTGGAATTGTTTTCAGACTTATTTTTATTGTTAATAGTTAAATATATTTATCGGCAGATATTGCATTGTAGAAATTTACTTACATGACTATTCGAAATTCCCTTGAGCGGTATAATACGAGTGAAGTGGCGGAAGTACTATGTGAAAAAAGGGAGAGACGGAGAAACTGGGATATGAAGGTTAACATACTCAAATAAAGTTGGTAGACCGACGTGCAGAAAGCTCAATAAAACCTTCCAGGCGTGCCAGGCAATTCCCATTACCATTCTGCAGTCTAACGTGCAGTAAAAACGATATTCGTAACGAAACGCTTGATTTCGTCCGGACAGAGATAATCATGACAATCTCTTCAATACTCGTTGATTCTTTCTTCAAAATAGTCTTTGTCCGTCGCAGTTCCTGGTAATGCTCTCACAACGTATCTTACGAATATTTCGCAGCCTCAACACCATCTCGAATACAATTTTTAGATGGTAAAAATGCCCCCCGCGTTTATGGAAACATAACAAGGCATGCGTCGCAATGCTTCGTCGCACATACCCCAAAGTTTCGGCAAAATCGGGACGGCCACGGACGCGTGTTCCTGTGCGATGAGATCTACCGCGTCGTCTAGCGGGGTCGCATAAACACGATCCTTTTCTATAACTCGGAAACAAAAATGACTTTTTCAGATATTGCTGATCTTGCGATTTTAAAAATTTATTATTTATGTTAAACTTTTACTCATCTTCCAACTATTTATTGTTAAAATGACGGGAAGGGATTCTGGAACTGAAGAAAACGTGCGCAGATAATATTCTACCCCTACGTCACATACAGTTTTTACTGTTTTTTCTCTGAATAAATCTAAATCCTTGGCGTAGCTCCAGATGAACTAATCCAAGAGCGTCAGGTCCGGAGTGCAGAGCCGCCAGACGACGACCCTCTGCGGCCAATTCAACGTCCCCGGAAGTGTGCGTCGAGGTGAGCGTAACTTCATGACGGTAATACGCCAGTGCACCGTTGTTGGATCCACATCCTGCTGTGGAGCGCTAAGGGCACATTTTATAGCAGTTCCGAGATGACACGCCGCAGAAATGTGGGGCACGCATCGGCATCGAGAGGAACCGGGAGTATTCAGTCCAATTATCTGATTGTTCAGAATGCCCGCCCAGATATTTAGAACACGGAAACCGGTGGCCTTGCGGCCGCGTGACACGGAATTTTTATATACACACCATTGGCAATTATGCGCATTGAAGACCTCGTGTCATGTAAATACCCGTCGAGGTGGGTTGGTCCACGTCCTGACAGGGGGTTGCAGGGAGGGCTCTCAAGTATTACTTTCTTTCACCAGGCAATTTTAACTCCCCCCATTGTTCATTTTCGTTTTTTTATAACATCCTGTCTCTTTTCTTCTTCTTCCCCTTCTATTTCACGAACCTCCTGTATGCTAAACTCCTACCAATGTGCATGGCGACCCGTGTTGGGGGAATGCGTATTGTACATAGGGATACGCTGTTTACATATTGTAGAGAACATTTCTTGTAGGTTTCAATACACGTGTTTTGGCCTGGGACTTGCCTAGACGGGCAGTCGGGAGCTAACCCACTTCCGATAAATTGGCTCGAACTAGGTCTTGTACAGAACTCCAAAGTGAACGGGGGTCATTCACATCGGAACAGCGCTGTGTCATTCCCTCACTATATCGCCGTGTCAACCATGGGATCCCACTGGGGTGTCCCCTTGTTGGACTCCTTGGAGGGTGGTTGAGTATCGAATGGATACTCAACCACCACCCCTGTCCTCGTCCGCAAGGAAGAGGTAATGTCAAGGAAAAACGATCGATTCAAATAGTTTTTTCATTACAGAAGAGGATAAACCGAAAAAAACAGTTTCTTTTAATGTCTTGCGCCGAAGACTTTGAAGAATGTAAGCGCGGTCCGTCTTAAGCGAGAAATTGAAAAGTGTTTCAGAAAGCTGCAAGCAGTCATGCGACAGAGGAATGGTACCATTCTCTTTGAAACACGCACCGACGAGCACATTTAGAAGATAATTAAAACCAAGCACATTGTCGCCTCCAGGTGAAAATGACCACTAACCCCACCATTAAACTGTAAGGACCTGGTCAACTGTGGCGATTTTGCGTCCTCAAGAGCGAAGGTGTCACCGAGGTTTACAGGATCAAGGTGAAGGAGAACGGGAGAAAGATCCACACTCCCACTGTAATTCCGACGTTCAACCTCCCAGTCCTCCCAGAAAGGATCATCTTCGGTTTCTATAATCTTCCCGTGAGGCAGTCTGTCCCGAACCCATTGCACTGCTTTAAATGACAATGGTTCAGCTATACGCAACAACGCTGCATGGCAGTAAACCCTGTATGCATCAAGTGTGGCCGTTTAGAACACGGAGTAGAACCCTGCGCTACAGCATTGCACTGTGTGAAATGTGAAGGAGAGCATGCGGCATACTTTAACAAGTGCCCTACCCTTTTAAAGGAGAGAGAGAGATCAGGTGATCAGAGTGAACGAGATGTCCTTTCCCGAGGCCAAACGCCGTTACTTGGCGAGAAACCCTGTCGATCTCTCTCTTTCTCCAGTACAGTGACGAAGCCTACGAACGCAACATCGAACTGCCAAACCGAAACTTTACCATCCATGCGCGACGCAGCTTGTCAGGTCTCTTTTGAAGAATTGACTTTAGCCACTAACTCCACCGTTCCGTTGGTGATCAAGCCCAAAAAACATGTAATGCAACAAATACCCATATTCGTGCGGCAATGAAATCTCCAGATCTCCGTCACTCATCTCAAGTGATCAGGATTCCCCTTCAACGCTCGCCGCCCACTGGCAGTAGTCAGGAGAACTCTGCTATGGAAGAGGACCTGCCTGCGAGTGCTCAAAGCACATTTCAGAAGGTGAGGAAGAAGAATAAGAAGAAACCCACCTAAATTTCAATGGTGGCTCTCGTGGATTATAAACGGTTTCCGTTCCCATTTAGAATAAATGTGAATAATTTAGCGCCATAACCCGTTCATTATATGCTTGGAAGAAACTCATTTTCTACCCCGTCGCGGTTTTCGCACGCACGGACCAAGATGACAGGGCTCGAAGCGATATTTATCCTTGACTCCTTAATCTCTGAGCATCACATCATCCAAACTGGTCTTCAGACTGTGTGCGTACGCCTGAATTTACCTTCAACATTGCTCACTCTGTGCAATGTATATCCACCCTCAAACCATATCACAGAAACAACTTGAAGATGTAATCTCCCAGATGCAGCAGCCCTTCCTTGTTGTTGGAGACTTTAATGCATTTATCCCCGCTTCGGGATGGTACGAGGTCCCACCAAAGAGGTACTACTTGTGTAAATATTATTGACCAGCAGACCTTAATTATTAATTCTGGGAATTAAACTTTCTTCTCCCCAGGCTTCAAACACTCAATTGAACTGGCGCTCTTCAGTCCAGCACTACTATCTTAGAGTAGACTGTTCTCGATGACTTACGTGAGAGTGACCATTTTCCTACTCTGGCCCACTTTGATATTCCTAATTTAGACATTACCCACCTTTCTCGCTGGCTAATCCATCGAGCTGACTGATATATCCAACTAGAAAATACCTGTCAATTGTTCCAATAACATCGATCCCTTGGTGGCCCAATTCTCCGGCGCCCTTTTTTCGCGCAGGCACTATCGTAATTTCGACACGTCCCTGTGCCTTAGTGGAATGCTAACTGTGCCATCGCGGTGCGAGACCGAAAGTGGGCACTGGGGAGACTAAATAGTTTCGACATCACCGCAAATCTGATTGATTACAAAAGAAAGCGTGTCAGAGCTAGGTTAGTAAGTAGGACCGCTTTCTTTCGTCTCTTTATTGCCATACTCCCAAACGTAGTATGGCGAAAAGAGGAAGACTTTCCGTAGAGTCTGAACCAGGACTCTCGATTAATGGAAATCTCACTTCTTCAGAAGATGTAATTGAGGAATTGGCCTGTCACTAGAAAACCAAACACAACCAAATGATGAAACATGTACCGGAAAAGGCATCGTCCCCTCCTCCGTATCTTAGTAGCCGTAGCATAACTAACGCCCAATCTCGCCCACAAGGTATATTTGCAAGCTTTCAGAGCAAATGGTGAACAGGCGTCTGGTATGGCTCTTTGGCACGGGCGCCAATGACCTAAGCTGTTGAAGCGCTCTTAAACCTTGATCATAATCGTGTAAATGTGGCCTCGTCGGTTCACAACACGCGTGCAATAAATTCGTCTTCGTTCGCGTCGCCGTGCTGTGAATTCACAAAACGGAAACTAGGAGATAATTCGCCAGTCAAACTTATACTAGCCACTTAGCGAAGATGTTTATATAAGGGAGAATTTAGTAAGAAAATAAACATCAAATACCAATAAGTAGTAAAGAATATAAACATAATACAATTCTAGGTTCTTTGATAAGAAAAACCGGCATATATTTTCGTATGAAGCCATCATTCACCGCCTCGCGCCGCTTCAGCTTGCGCGTGTACACCCCTTTCTTAATTTTAAGAGGAAAATTAGTGCGGAGTCAGGAGAAGTTGCCCTTACCCGTTGGAGTGCCGGGCTCCCCTGGCGTGCAGGTTGCTCGGGCGTGCGCGGTTTGACGTGCCTGCTCTGAGGCTTTGCCATTGTTATTGCGGCTCCCGCACCGCCGAGAGCTTTCAGACGATTCTGGCGGCGGAAGCCTACGAATGCAGAAGCCATTAACTCTTAATTGAGAAAAATTAAATTCTTAGAATAATAACGAAAACCAGCACTATTGATATAGTCCAAAAAGATCACTTCACAAACGTTCACTAAATGTTGAAATATGGAATAAAAATCTGAAACATGCTTGTATATTCATATACCATAAACTAATGACTGATACAAAGAATGTAACTAATGACCGTACTTCTTACAAACATATTTAAAGCACTCCAGATAAATGCATTTAATCTTCAGGATAAGTGCATCTTAATTGTACAACAAATTTATTATTATTTATTATTATTATTATTATTATTATTATTATTATTTCGGCCAATTAACCACGCTACACGATTAACGTGTGTAACTATAGGGGTCAGTTTTTAATTTGTATCCCTCTGTAAGAAGAGGTTGTTACGCCTTGAATTCCTGAAATGTGAATTGAGGTGATATGATGATGAGGGGGTGAAGAGACAATCACAAATACTCCCATGCCGCCTCGGCACTGACGACCACAACCATCTGCGCCACGGGGCCGGCTGCTCCTTCTTGTTCTTCTCGATATTATGATTGTTATTGTATTATTATTATTATTATTATTATTATTATTATTATTATTATTATTATTATTATTATTATTATTATTTATTGTTATTTATTGTTATTTATTGTTATTTATTGTTATTTATTATTATTTATTGTTATTTATTATTATTTTTATTACTATTGCATCTATCTATTCTAACCTGCCTACCCCCAACTTACCTCCTTCAACAGCAGCACGCATGTGCAGTATGCGTGTTAACAAGATTTGCTCGTGAAGCAAGCTTAAAATTCTCAGGAAGCAGGATCTTTCGGGTACGAGAAAGGTCTGAACCCTCAACACAAAAAAAATTGCAAAGATTGTGAACAAACAAGCGTATAATTCACCCATAAAACTTTAGCGGCACAATTACACGACAAAAAAATAATCAAACTTACCTTACAATACACAAATTCTAACTTCCCTCAAAATTACAAAGAAGAACTGTACAACAATTAAACCTTGTGGCTATTTTAGTGAACTGTCGTGTTGCTGCGATCTTTTTTTTTTTTTCTAACGAAACTGCTGTAGTACAAATGCACGTGTCTCACCGACTTTTCTATAGTGTACAGGAATTCTGCAGTTGCTGCAGTAGGACTAGGTATAGAAGTAGTAACCTTCTTTCTTCTCTGGACTCTTTAGAGCTTGCCTGTTTGTTAACAACTATTATTCATAAGCATTAGACATTGTGTCCATTACCTTTGTTATTATCATGGAAGTGTCATTGTTATCATTGATTTTTTTAATATTTTCAGCATAAATTCCTGACAAATGTCTTAAATCTTTGTCTCCTGCATAGTAATTCTTCTGAAAATGATGTGAGTGTTAAAGCGTGCCACCTGATGACTTTGCTTCCATGGTACATTACTATTCGCAGAATACAAGAATTAACAGAACCAAAGGTGAGTATTAATGTGAATTGAAGGTACTTAAAATAATGTGACACAAATACATGCAGTTCTATAGGATAAAATAAAACTTCTCTTTGATCTACACATAAGTATGACTTGAACAAAAAGACACAACAGAAACAAAGTACTGTACATTCAGTTTTTATGTACTTGGAATCAATGATATGCTTTTAATTCTATGCAATATGTAGCTTTTGTACAGGTTGTGTTCGCAAGAGAGATCTGTGCACTCAATGACTGTTAAAAAGTGAGTATTTGTCTAGGCTTTAGCGAACATCGAGTGCAGATATCTCGTGCGAACTCTATTTGACTGTAGCCAGCATGACATTAATAAATTATATCTTAAGCCATTGGCCTCACAATACGTTGTAATTGACTGCACTTGAATATCACTACATAATACTTTCTTTTTCTTCTCGTTTCATGTATAAAAATTTGGCTCATTCAGTTTTCGTTGAACACTTAATTTTAGAAAATTGCAAATGATACCAATATTGCGAGAAAGTATGAGCTCTATTAGCTCTACTAGTTCGTCAGTTTTCAATTATTAATCAACCAGATTACTATTTAAAACCTATTTGAAATAAAGATTGCTAGCTCTCGGATGCCCGCTCCTAATTTACGCAGTTGCATGCGACGTAAGCTAGAATTTGCATATTATTCTATACTTAATTTTATTATTATATTTGTTATTTCATTGTCAATTGCGTCCTTTGATTGTGTTTAATGTGAAAACGATTAGATGAGCGGTCATTGTTCGCTGTTACCCATTGTTGTAACGCCAAACAGAAAGTGATATTAAAACTGCTTTTCTTCTAATAAAAACCAATACTTTCATATGTTTGTTGAATATTACAATACCATGTTGTTTAATAATTATTAGTATATATTTTTCGATATATTTGTGTATGTGTATAAACAAATTTTCATACTGAACAATGAAAACTCATGGTGTCAAATTTTTGTGTCGTAAAGAGAGCAAACGTCAAACAACGGATCAAGACGGTAGAAGAAACAGACTACGAACTAACAGTTCCTTTATTATCAGCTGGTACATTAGGTTCAGCATACCCTACCAGGACCAGCTATGTGCGTTGATTCATAATTGTCATTGACCGTTATATTTGCGGCATTATCAAGTTTGGACAATTGTTACTTTCTTGAAAAAACTTGACTCGTGAGAAGGAATTTTGTAAAAAGTTTTTCCGTTGCATTAATTTAATTTTATTTTATTATTCACCTATTTTGAACCCTACATCTCAAACCGTTTCCAAGTCGCAAAAAAACTTTTGTGAGTGCTCGAGTTGACATGGAAAGGCTATTGTTTTCATGCATGGTAATTTTGTCATGTAACATTTATGAATATAAATGTATACTTTATGAATGCAATCTAAATTTCACAGGTTTGTGTGACTTCAAGTACTTTTTTCTTATATAATTGACAATGATAATTTTATAATGAAGCTCAATGTGTTTTTTTTTTTTTCTAAATTGTTGGTTTTGCAGAAAGGAAATGTGAAGAACTTCACTTTTGCCCTGGAATCACTACATGATGTCCAAAAACACCATATGTCCAAAGCTACCTATGGAGATATGCATGGAATTCATTTCAAAAAATTAATGGGATACATATTACATGGAACACAGTGTCTGTAAGTATTTTATAGTATCAATCAGAAATTTTGTTTGTCACCAGTAAAAAATATTGAAGATTATGCATTGGTTGTTGCAAGAATTTTTAAAACGTGTAATATACCCCCAAAAAATTGAATAACATTAATGAGATGTTGCCAGAGTATCATCCACGAATTTGTGTGTGCGCGTGAGCGTGCGTGTGTGCGCGCGTGAGCGTGCGTGTGCGCGCGTGAGCGTGCGTGTGTGCGCGCGTGAGCGTGCGTGTGTGCGCGCGTGAGCGTGCGTGTGTGCGCGCGTGAGCGTGGGTGTGTGCGCGCGTGAGCGTGGGTGTGTGCGCGCGTGAGCGTGGGT